TTTTTTTTTTTTTTTTTTTTTTTGGTTTTTTTTTTTTTTTTTTTTTCCTTAACCTTTAAAAATGTAAAATCCATTCTTAGCTTATGGGCTGTACCAAAACAAGACATGGGCTGGATTTAGCCCATCACCATTGTTTATTAACCCTTGCTTTAGGCAGTCAGAAAAGTCAGATTTTAGGCAGTTGGAGTTATGTGCCCTCATTTTTGTATTCAAAATGGCACTGAAGTACTAGACTAAGGCCTAAGACAGAAACAGAAGACAGTTATTGGGCTATTGTCTAATGTAAGACTCCAAAGTTTTTGGCTTCATTAACTAGGGTCTTTTATTTATTTATTTATTTTGTGTGGTGGCTGGGCAGTACAGGTATCCAAACCCTTGACCTTGGTGTGTAAACAGTGCGCTCTAACCAATGAGCTAACCGGCCAGCCCTGTTAAGAAGTGGAAGGCTAAGAGAAAACTGATCTGGTAGGTAAAAGATAAGTTCTGTTTTGAACATGTTAAATTTTACGTTCCTATTAGACTCCTAAATGGAATTGGCCAGTAGAGTTTAAGGGAGGTACATGACACACACACTTTCTCTTTTGCTCTCTTTCTCTCTTCCTCCAGATAGAGAGATAGATAAATAAAATCTATCTATCTAGAATATAGATGGCACCTAAAGCCATGGGATTGGATTATGTTCCCTAGGGACAGCAGAGGGCTATAAACCAAGCCAAGGGACAGCCCAACATTTAGAAATGAAGTAAAGGAAGAGAATCTAGCAAAGGAGCCTGAGGAGCTTAAGAGTATCCTGTGACTTACTAGGACAACCAGAGAGGAGTATTATTGAAGCCAAAAGAGAATGAAGTGGTCAGCACTATCAAATCATGCTGTCAAATAAGATAAATATGCAAAAATGACCATTGGGGTAGGGCATTATGGACTTTGATAAGAATGGTTCACTGCAATAGTATAGGACAAAAACTATATTGAAGTTTTGCTCCAAAGGTGAACAGTGACATGGTACTGTAGCAAAAGAAATGTAATCAAGGGAGTGTTGTTCGTTGTTTTGTTAATGGGAGATAGAACATGTTTGCTTAATGATAGAAAATGATCCAGTAGAGGGGGAATTTGATGATGCGAGAGGGATTCACTTGAACATATTAAGGATTGGCAGTGAAATTATTTTCTCTTTTAAAGGGCAAACAGGAATAGCCTGGGTTCAAAAAGAGGGACTAATGAGTTTTCTAAATAGACTAGGAGCAAAATCCAAATGTATGGAAGTTTAAGAAAAAGCACATCATATTTGGGGAATGGCAAGTACTTATTTTGGCTGAAACAGTGCCTTTTAAGCTAGTGACAAAATCAGAGGTTGGCAAGGGCCAGATCAAGAAGGAGTATGCCACAACATATTATACCACGGAGTTTAGAATTTATTCTGAAGACAGTGAGGATCCTCTGAAGAATTTAAAATAAAATTTTTATAGCATTTTTTAAAGATAAGATAAAAGAAGATTGATATGGAGGTTGGCAAAACTGGTGACAAGGACACCAGAGAGGAAACTATTATAGTAGTCCAGATGAGAGATGATGGGGTCTAACTGAAGATTTGTCAGTGGGTATTAAAAAGGATAGTACTGTTTTGACAGCTATTTATAAAGTAAACTCAACAAAAACATTGGTGTCCAATTGGAATAAGCAGTGAGGGGGAACTAAGCATATCAGACATAACTCAGAATTGTTTTTTGCTTTGGAGGCTAGGGAGATGTGGGGAATACAAGATTAGGTGAGGCTGCCTATTCATCGTGATTTGGGTGTTTATAGCAACACCAATGTGGTAGTCAGTTGAAGATGTGTAGTAGTCAGAGTATAAATGCACAGTCTGGCCTGGAAATAATTACCTGGGTATGGCCCAACTTGAAATCCCAGTTATCAATGAGCTTCTCAGTCAGGGTGGGTTAAGGGGAAAAAATAGTCTTAATGACAGCCTGGCAAAAAACCACTTATGAGGCAGCCATTTCAAGCCATAGTATGAGCAGTCTTTGCAGTTTATAGACACAACCGTTGCACAAAAACCATTTTTATTTTTAGCCTGTTTCTTTTTTCTTTTTTTTTCCTTTTTTTTTGTCTTTTTTCGTGACTGGCAACGGGATCGCAACCCTCGGTGTCGCGCCCACACCGCGCTCAACCCGTGAGCGGACCGGTCTCTATATGGGATCCGAACCCTTGGCGGGAGCGCTGCCGCACTCCCAAGCGCCGCACTCTACCAAGTGCCGCACTCTACCAAGTGCGCCACCAGGCCAGCCCCAAGCCTGTTTCTTTTAAGTGTTTTTTTTTTTAAATATTTTTTTGAAACCGTGGGATCCGAACCCTTGGCGGGAGCGCTGCCGCACTCCCAAGCGCCGCACTCTACCAAGTGCGCCACCAGGCCAGCCCCAAGCCTGTTTCTTTTAAGTGTTTTTTTTTTTAAATATTTTTTTGAAACCGAAGTTTTTTTTTTACGGATAAGTTTGAAAATTTAACATATAATTTACCTTTTTCTCTTTATTAAGATTGAAGAATTGGAGGAGAAACTTAATGATGCACTTCACCAGAAGCAGCTACTAACATTGAGATTAGACAACCAATTGACTTTTCAACAGAAGGATGCCAGGTAAGAAAAGTTTTAAAAACAGCAACAATATCTATTTAGCAATTAAAAGTAATTTTATTACCTATTCATGCATGTAATTGTAAGCTAAAATAGAGAAATTTTAAGTCAATAATGGTAATAATTTTCACAACCAGACCACAAAAAAGTAGGTTACTTGGTGCAGTTTACAAAATACAAAAATTCTACATATTAGGGCTGGCTGATTAATTCAGTCAGTTAGAGCACAGTGTTATAAAACCAAGGTCAAGGGTTTGGATCTCCATATTGGCCAACTGCCAAAAAGAAATTTGAAAAAAAAAGTTAACATGCATTTAACAAACATTGGCCAATATAAGTGAACCATAAACAACAAAGGAAGCTCTTTAAACTGTCTACCACTTAATTTACTGTCTGTATTAACCTTTCTTCATTTACTCTATAAAACATACTGATTGATTCTCATGGTCTAATGGACTTCCTTGGCTTGAAGTACCTTCTGTTATGCCTGCATACTTTCTCCAGCTTAGGTATATGCTTATCAAGGGTCCATTATTTACTTTCAAATATGCCTATGCCAATTATACTTATTGGCATTGTAAAGAAATTAAACTTGGAAATCATAAACAATAATGATTTGCACAAAAACAAAACATACCTCTGTATTCAAAAAATCTGGGCCCTATATACAAAATATGACAAATGAATATTTTTTTCTGTGTTTTAATTAGAAGTAAGTGTATAAAGTAGGTATCTTTTCTCTTTTTAAGATTTTACTGTTTAAGTGATCTTTTAAGGAATTATCTGACCAATTATTAGCCACTATTACATTAGATCAGTGGACCTTAAACTTTAGCATGCATTAGAAATATCTGGAGAGCTCATTAAAAAAAGATTATTGGGTCCTGCCCTCAGAGGTTCTGATTTAGGTTGGGTCTTGAGAATTTGCATTTCTACTTGTTTCCCGGGTGATGCTGATGCTGCTCATCCAGGGACAACACTTTGAGAACCATGAATTCAGTAATAGTGCTTCTACTCTAATTCTTTAGACATTTATCAGATTGAATGATGCTGCTTTGGCAGTCAGGACACTGTTGCAATAATGCTCTTGATAGCTGATGATGGTGAAAAGTGGTTGGATTCTGAATATATTTTAAAGGTAGAACTGATAGGATGCTCCGATGGATTAGATGTGGGGTTTAAGGGAAAAGGGGGAGTCAAAGATTGCACCAATGTTTTTGGCCTGAATAAATAAAAAAGATGAAGTTGTTATCAACTACAGTGGGGGGAACCACAGTGGAATAGGTTTCTGAGTAAAGAGCAGGAGTTCAATTTGGGGCATGTTGAGCTAGAGTTGTCTTATTAGAAATCTATATGGGGGTATGTGAAAAGTCTGGTCTGGAGCTACAAATCTGGGAATCATTACAGACTGTATTTAAGTCATGAGACGGGATGAATTCCCGAAGGGAATGAATATAGTCAGAGAAGAGGACCAAGTATTCCAGCATTAAGACATAGCAGGAGACTGAGAAGTTACCACAGTAAAATAGGAGAAAAATGAAGAATGTGGTATCTTGGAAGCCAGGTGAAGAAAATGTATCAGGGATGGAGAGATCAGTTGTGTCGTGTACTATCATTAGGTCATGGATGAAAAGAACTAAGAATTGGTGATTAGCAATCTGGATGTCATTGGTGATCTTGAGATTTTAGTAGAGAAGGTTAAAACCTGATTGACATGGGTTTAAGAGAAAAGCAATTAGAGACAATGAGTATAGACAACTTTTGATCAGTTTTGCTCCATGGGGGAGCAAAGGGGGAAGTGAGTAACAGGATCAAGTGTTGTGGGGTTTTTTGTTCATTTGTTTTAGGATAGGAGAAATAACAGCATGTTTGTCAGTTAATGGGAGTAAAATAGTGGGGGTGGGGTGGGGTGCGGGAATCAGTTTGTTCCTTCCTGCTCAAAATCTTTGAGTAGGCAACTAACAAGAACAGTGTCCAATGCTTGTATTCTTTAAGTATGATGAGTATGAGCAGAGTACTCTTTTCATTATCTCATTGGTTGAATGAATGCTTTATGGTGGGTTCAATGTTGCCATCTTAAAGAGGTATTTCTTGCAGTGTGAGGATAAAAGAGAAATGAAAATTACTTTTATAAGTAGGGTCCAAAACAGATGTATATAGGACTTAAACCTTAAGCAGAAAAATGTATAAATTTATTACTTGAATTTTTAACATAACTCGTTAAGAATATTAATTCCCTGATAATTTATGTGGGCTGTACATTTAGTGATTAGTATGGAATTGTCATTTCATGTTTAACTGGTTGAGTAAATAAGCACTTCACTGGAGCCAAGAATGCTATTGGGCTTCTCATTCCCTAATTTCATGTTAGTATAAATAGGGAACTTTGAGGAAATTAAATCTTAAAGATATTTAAAGCTTGCCATAAATTTTCTCCTAATGTAGAAAATATCAAGAATTAATGAAACAAGAAATGGAAACCATTTTATTGAGACAGAAACAACTAGAAGAGACAAATCATCAGCTAAGAGAGAAAGCTGGAGACGTTCGTCGGAACCTACGAGACTTTGAGTTGACAGAAGAGCAATATATGAAACTAAAAGCTTTTCCTGAAGATCAGCTTTCTATTCCTGAATATGTATCTGTAAGTGTCTTGTATTGCTTAAAAAAAAAACTACATATATTTTCAGACTTTTACATTTGTGTAGAAGCCATTACTTTTGATGGACCCAGTTAGTTGATAAATTATGTTAGGACCCTGATCTGAAGATGGTGAGTGGTGTTCAGATCACCAAATTTTAAAGGGTCTTTGATCTCCAAAGTCAAGCAACAACTAGGAATCTGAAGATGATGACTGCATAATCCATAGAAATGTATTATTTTATCATTAACTAATGGTTTATAACGTTCTCAAAATGAGATTCGGTGATGAGCAACAGATTAGTTAATGTCAGGGGTTGGTTAGAGATAGAGGGAGAGAGCAGAGCTGGTATAATTATAAAGGGGTAGAATGAGAGAGAGCTTTGTAGTGATAGATTAGTTCAGGATCTTGATTATATAGTGTTGATTATACAAATCTATACATAGGATTAATCTATGTCGGTGGTCTCAAAATTTTGTTGTCAACATCTCTTTACACTGTGAAAATTATTGTTGACTATAGAGAACTCTTGTTTATATGGGCTATATCTATCAGTATATACCATATTAGAAATTAAAACTGAGAAATTTTTTAAACGCAAGGTACATAAGCACACATTTCATTAGCCTTAAGAGTGATTATGTCATCATACATCAGATAGCCCCTGGCAAACTCCACTGAGCAGTTGTAAGAGAGTGAGAGTAAGGGCTGGCCAGTTAGCTCAGTTGATTAGAGCATTGTGCTGATAACCAAGGTCCAGGGTTCCGTCCCTGTACAGGGTAGTTGCCAAAAAATAAAAATAAGAGAATGAGAATGAAACAGGAAAAAAAAATCTTAATATTACTAGGAAAATACTTTCGATCTTATGGATTCCCCCAAAGGGTCTCAGAGTGGCAGGCGGGGCAGGGGCCAAGAGTTCCTCAAACCACATGTCTGAGAACTGCTATGTTTGAAAAAACATCATTTCACCCTAAGAGGCTTGAATTTTTCTGAAATCCAAAAATAAAAAGGTGTTATTAATAAAAACAACATCTTTCAATTGAGGTAATTGTGAAGATTAACTACAAGTTTATTGGTAAAATGCATAGCACAGTGCTTAGAACATAGTAAATACATAATAAATATTACCTATTGTTTTAGGGTGGCAGTTGCTATTCTTGGTTCTTGTTGGGGTAAGGTTTCTAAATTAGTGATATCCTATAAAATAAAGTGTTACTTTTTGTTCAGCTTTTTATTTAAATAGTTCAAATGTGGTTTTCTGCCCCGAGTGTGCTGTCCAAAACAAATTAATATCTCAAGTACTGTCATTGAGGCTTTATCTGTAGTAGATATAAAATATCCCATTGATGGTGATTATACATATTTTTGCTCTCTGGTTTGTTAATATTCCTTGTTACATCACATCTTTTGTTTTCACAGATAATATTATCTTAACTAATTATTTTTTAATTAATTGTATGCAGATTTTTTTGTGTTGAAGGCTAACCTTAGGACTTGCCTCTTACCACATATGGTACTCTTGCAATGTAGTCATATATTAAGGAGTTTCAGATTGTATGCCTGTACAATAAATAGTCCCTAATTACCCTCTCCTAATTTGCTGATGGCTTCCTAGGTTAATAGGACGTTGTCAGATGGAACGCTTTACTGAGTTAGGGCAGGAAAATTCCCCTGAGAGAATTATGAGTGGGAAGAGAGGTCTGAACTGAACGGAAGTAGTGATATGAAAGAAAACTCCTGATTTATGCTGATTATTTCTTACTACTCTGTAGTGGCAGCAGTAAGTAGGGCTTTGCCCAGAGAATGGGATGAGAATAAAGAATAGTCTTTATCTCTTTATCAAATATTTACTGAGTACTTATCATATATTTAGGCATTGTAAATAGAGCAGTGTACCAAATAGACAAAAATTCCTGTCCTCACAGAGCTTACACTCTACTCGAGAAACACAGACAATGACTAAATATGGAGAATGTCTGTTTATTATAAGTGCTATGGAGAAAAGAGCAGAATGAAGAATAGGGAGTGCCACCAGGTCAGGGTGCTATTTTAAATCAGAGTAGGGGACTCCAGGAAGGCTTTACTAGTAAGGTAATATTTGATTTGATACCTGAAGGGAGACAAGACATGAACCATGCATTTACATGCAGGAAGAACTTTTCTACCATAGGAAATAGCAAGAGCAAGACTCTTGAACGCTTGATGTGTTAAGGAAATTTACAGTCAGATAATGCGGAGTGAGTAGTAGTAGGAGATGAGGCATACATAGTAAATTGAGTATTGATAGAAGAAAGGAAAGAGAGATTGTCAAGGGTGGATAGTTACAGATTTATCTGCCTCTTGGAGTAACTTAGTTGAATGTTAAGACTTAATAAAGTATTAGTGGTTAAGATTAACTAATGACTGTCTTGTCTTAGCTTTGTAGATAATTTCTTTTATTATTGATAATTGAGAATACTGCAAATTAGCAAATTTTTATTGTAATTTGGATTTCAAGACTGCTTATTAATTTGATTTTTTTTTTTAAGGTTCGGTTCTATGAACTAGTAAATCCATTAAGAAAGGAAATCTGTGAACTGCAAGTGAAAAAGAATGACCTATTAGAAGAATTAAGTACAAACAAAGACCAGCTGAAGCAACTGACAGAGGTTTGTATGGTTCTGATTGCTGGTGGGAAGAAGCTCCAACTTTTCTTATAAGGAGTTCCTCAGGATTTGTGATAAGGAATACAAAAGTCAATGATAGAAGGATGGGACCAAGGGATGCTGACTGCTGCAGCTCTTCATAACTAGTGGGAAGGAGGTTATATTGGAAGTCATCATCTTAAAAATTGACAAGATAAGTCTGTGATACTGACCTGTAATCGAAGGTGGAGCATTTTGTTGTAACTAATTTTTATAATCAACTGCTTTTGAAATCCTAATATGAGTTATATCTAAAAATTGGTGTGTCATTACTCAAATGCATATGCACCGATATTTAGTAATTTACATCTCTATTTCTAATATCACTCTGTCAGGAAATTTTGGCAAGAACCAAAAAATGCAGGCAGGATATACAGGGGATCTCTTGCAGATGCCATAAGTAAAAAAGGAAAAGAGGATACTTTTCAGTTTTAACTAGGGTGATTCGTGTATTCTGATTTGCCTATTATTCCTGATGTATGAGTGTTAATAGCATCCTATTCATTTCCAAAAGTGTCCCAATCTAGATGACAAATTATGTGGTCATCATACTTACAACTCTCATTTATAGGAGGGTGGACTAATCATAACCTTGGTTATAGCATTGACCAAATATCCCAGAATACTGTCATATAGTTAGTTATAGTCTGCTAAGAAAAAAAATAGTGGTAGATTGATTCGTTCTATCATATACCAGTTAGAAATGGGATAGCTGTTTTTCTTCAAGGATTTTCAATCTGAAGGAAAACACTTCGGGTTATACTTTACACATAAAGTCTGTTGCAGTTCTTCATTACAGGTTAATGTTGTGATATGAAAGGGAAGTACTATCCATTTATCATTCATTCATTTTGCTTCTTCATCAAATGCAGTTAACTTTCATAATACTAGTTCTGAGCATGTGCACTATTACCATTAACCCTAGTGATATGCATGGTGCTGTGCTAGGTGCTGTCAGTAGTAAACACAAGAGAGATAATGTCTGCCCTTCTAAAGTTAAATTCCAGTAGATCAGAATTAGAACATTAGATGGTACCTGACTCTGATTTACGGTGTGACCTTGAACAAGTCATTTAATGTTTCCTGTTTTGTCAAATGGAGAAAATAATACTGTTTGTCCATTTATTTTAGTGGATTATTCATGTTTCTGTTGCAAAGTAAAAACATGATTTTAGCAAAATTGCATACAAATGTTTATTTTATGTACTGTTCCAAGGGCAGTTTTTAATCAAAGATTTATTATCAAGAAAAAATAATTATAACTTTATATTTTTGATGTTCTACTTTGCTGCAGTATTAGTGCTGGACAGAATTTACTTAAGTCAGTAATACAGAGCCAATATCACAGGCAAAATGAAGGCTCAATTTCCTCCCTCTCTTCAGAGGGGCAATGACATCAGCAGGAGCAATGCTAGAGATGCGCACCTACTTCAAGCTTCTGTTGGTATTTTTTTTTTCCTTGTTCTGCCAACATATCACATTGTACAGGTAAACTGTTTTGCACATTTGTAAAGATAGCTCTTAATTTTTTTAAAAGCTTTCATCTTTAGTCAAAATAATAAAGAACAAAATTAAAAGGTCTCACTTTGGCTACTAGCTAATTTTGTAGACTTGGGCAAATCCTTTAAACTCTCTTGTTTCTGTAATATGCCCAGGGTGGTGGTGACGGTACAGGGGTTATTGGGAAAGAGGCAATTAGACAAGTTTTCAGACTTGATTCTGCAGCACCTTATGGTACCTCAGCATCTCTTAAGGACTTCTTATTTTGAAGGGGGAGGGTTGGAGGAGCTCCCTAACCTTGTTTCTATCAAACCACCTCTTTTTAAATCACTTTAATATTTGGGGCTTGTAAGAGTGATTTCTTTTGAACAATAAAGGATTACTTAGGCAAAAGAAAGAAAAGGTAGCTTGCAACACTAGAATTATCATTAGTGTATGTTATACTTTTATTGAGTGATAAAGCAAAATCTCTCTACTCACAAGACTCAAGGGTCAGTAATGGCTTTTTATCTCACATTTTAATTTGTTTTAGACTTGCTAAGAATTTTAGTACGTCATTGATAGAGAAGTGTGAATAATTAATATGCTTTGACTCATAGGGTTCCTGAGTGTTTCGGACGTACTATTAACTCTTAAATGTTGAAACAGTTTTGTGTATGAATCTGTATTAGTCAGGATTCTCTGGAGAAACAGAACCAACAGGATGTGTGTGTGTGAAGAAAGAGAGGAAGAGTTTTGTTTTAAGGTATTGGCTCATGCAATTGTGGAAGCTTGGCAAGTTCATAATCTTCAGGGTAGGCCAGCAGATGGGATACCCAGTAAAGAGTTTAAGTCCAAAGGCCATCTGCTGGCAGAATTCTTTCTTGCTTTTTGAAGTTAGTCTTTTTGTGTAAAAACCTACCATGGATTAAAGGAGGCTCACAAACATTATGGCAGGTAATCTGCTTTAATAAAAATTCTCTCATTTAGAGTGATGTCATCAAGATGGTGGAATAGATGGACCCCGGCATCACTCCTCCCCATAGCTGAACAATTGATAACTGTTAAAAAGCAAAGACTGCCAGCCTGGGAGCACTGGAGTTCAGGGGAAGAGGAGGAGAGATCCACAAAGTTTGTGAAGTTAGGAAAAGCCTCGGTGAGAGGGAAAAAGGACTGCCCTGGCCATTTCAGGGCCAGCCTGGTGAGGGGTGGGAAGAAGCTGCAGCACACAGTGCAGGAGCTGGCAAAAGCAGCACTTGAGCCCTTGGTGTGAAGTTGCTTGGAGTCTGCCAGGGAGAAAAGGGCCTGAAAGTGCACCATACCAGCCCCCAGGCCAGTGAGACCACTGATAGGATTCTCATGGACCAACATAGGAATGAGTGGCTCAGTGAATTATAAAATAAGAACAACAATATGCTGCCTACAGGAAACTCACTTCACCTATAATGACACACTATCTGAAAGTGAAGGTGTAGAAGAAGATATTTCATGGAAATGGAAATCAAAAAAGAGCAGGAGTAGCTATATTTATAGCAGATAAAATAGATTCCAAGCCAAGGAAAGTAAAAAATGCTAAGGAAGGTCATTATACAATGACAAAGGGATCAATTCAGCGAGAGGATATAACAATTCTAAATATATATGCATTTAACTCCAGAGCACCCAGTTATATAAAGCAATTACTATTGACTCCAACACAATAATAGTTGGGGACTTTAATACCCCACTTTCAGCAAAGGATAGATCATCCAGATAGGAAATTAACCAGGAAACATAAGAAATAATCTCTACTCTAGACCAATTATAATTAACAGACATATATAGAACATTGCATCTAACAGCCGCAGAATATACATTCTTCTCAGTGGTATAAGGAAAATTTTCTAGAATAGACCATATGTGAGACACAGAACAAGTCTCAACAAATTTTATAAAATTGACGGGCTAGGTGGTTAGCTCAGATGGTTAGAGTGCAGCCTTGTAACACCAAGGTCATGGGTTTGGATCCCTGTACTGGCCAGCTGCAAAAAAAAATAAATAAATAAATTGAAATCTTATCAACTACCTTTTCTGGCCACTGGGATAAAACTAGAAAGCAACAACAAAAATGACACCAGAAACCATACGAATACTTGGAAATTAAACAATATGCTCCTAAACAATGAATGGGTCAAAGAAATAATCAAAAAGGAAATTTTAAAAATCCTGGAAACAAATGAAAATGAAAACACAGTATACCAGAACCTATGAGATACAGCAAAAGCAGTTCTAAAAGGAACATTTATATCAAGAAATGCCTACATCAAAAAAGAAGAAAGACTTCAAATAAATAACCTAACATTACACCTCAAGGAACTAGAAAAATAAGAACAAACCAAACCCCAAATCAGTAGAAAGAGAGAAATAACAGATCAGAGCAGAAATAAATAGAGATATTAAAAAACAGTACAAAACTTCAATGAAACAAATAGTTGGTTTTTCAGAAAGATAAACAAAATTGATAAACCTTTAGCTAGACTAGTGAAGAAAAAGAGAAAACTCATAAATAAAATCAGAAATGAAAAAGGAGGCATTACAACTGATACCACAGAAATACAAAGGATCATAAGAGACTAGCTCAAACAACTACATGTGAACAAACTGGAAAACCTAGAAGATGGATAAATCACAGGACACATACAACTTACCAAAGTTGAATCATGAAGAACTAGAAAACTTAAATTGACCAATACGAGTAATGAGATTGAAGCAATAATAAAAAGTCTCCCAACAAAGAAAACTCAGGACCAGATGGCTTCACTGCCAAATCCTACCAAACATTTAAAAAAGAACTAATACCAATTCTTCTCAAACTCTTCTAAGAAATTGAAGAGGAGTGAATACTTCCAAACTCCTTCTACAAGGTTAGCATTACCCTCATACGCAAAACCATATACCCAAAAGACACAACAATAAAACTACAGACCAATAATATTCCTAATGAACACTAACATGAAGATACTCAACAGAATACTAGCAAACAAAATCCAACACATTAAAAAGATTATACACTATGATCAAGTGGAATTCATCCTAAGGAGGCAAGAATCATTCAACATACACAGATCAATAAATGTGATATATCACATCAACAGAATGAAGTGAAAGAGACATGATCATTTCAATAGATGCAGAAAAAGCATATGATAAAAGCCAAGTGCTTCATGATAAAAACACTCAACAAACTAGGTACAGAAAGAATGTACCCCAACACAATAAAGGCCATAGACAGCAAACCCATAGCAAATATTATATTGAATGGATCAAAATTGGAGGCTTTTCCTCTAAGATCTGGAACAAAACAGGATGCCCACTTTACCAACTCTTATTTAACATAGTACTAGATGTTCTAGCCAGTACATTAAGGCATTGATATACAACAAACGGCATCCAAATCAGAAAGGAAGAAGTAAAACTATCCCTGTTTGCAGATGACATGATCATACACATAGAAAACCCTAAAGAGTACACCAAAAAATCACTAGAACTGATAAATAAATTCAGTATAGTGGCAAGATACAAAATTAAAACACAAAAATCAGTAGCCTTCCTATAGATCAGAAATGAAATAGGCAAAGAAGAAATCAAGAAAGTAATCCCATTCACATTAGCTACCAAAAATATGAAATACCTAGGAGCAAATTTAACCAAGCGGTGAAAGATCTCTATGATGAAAACTATAAAACATTGCTGAAAAAATTTGAGGAGGACAAAAATAGTGGAAAGATGTCCCATGTTCATAGGTTGGAAGAATTAACATCAAAATGTCCTTGTTTGTTGAGTGGGAGGGAGGAGAGGGA